ACCTACCTACCTTACTACGTACGTAACGGTTAGTACGACCTACTATATTAACTTTAACTTACTATATATATAGTAGTATGTGTGTGTATATATATATATATATATATATATATATATATATATAGTTTAAACCGAATATTACAAGGCAGCTCAAACAAAAATTGATTGATCAATACAACAGGATATGAAGCAAGTGAACATTAAACATTCATTCTTTAACAAATGAATCAAGGATCCTAATCTAAAGACGTGAATAATATAAGCTTCTAAATTTCTGTAAAGCAGATTTCCTTCAGCAGAGTTTTTGAGTGTTCTGCAAAAATTTTCAAGAACATATTTTTTGATACATCATGGTCAATAATCCACAAGAATTTGACCAAAATCATTTGCCAATAATAGCACCTGAAGAGCCATAAACAAGCCCAATAAGAGAAGACATGGAGAATGAGAACATATAAGTGATCAAATTCATCAATATTGACTTACGCCATCATTTCCTTTCCTTCTCTTCACAGACTGAGATAGATTGCTTTCATCTTTCAGCTGTTTTGCAGAAGGGAAACTCCTCAGAGTTTCTGGAGATGGATCCCCGACTTCTTTTCCATTATTTGGTTCCAAGCCACTTGAAAGTCGTTTGCGCTTCCGCTTCAAAACCCATTTTCCATCAATTAATTTATTCTGTGGTGACTCCTTTTCCATCATTATTCAATCCCTGGCTCTAGGTCGTGACTCATGGATCTCACAACCTGACAATTCATCAACTACCTAACATATTACACTGAATCTACTCTGAATTCTCTAGAGCATTGAATACTGTATGGTGCTAAAGCCTCATTTACCAGAGCACATTCAAACATATTGCAGAAAGAAAAAGCATGCTGTAATGTGAAAAGGAAAGAAGCATATTGTAAGTATGATACACTATCATTAACATTACAATACATTAAAAGATAGAATCCATGATTATTAAAATTTAAAGCCATCAAGTTTAGACTATCACTGAGAAAGAAACAGCACTCTCCACATTCAGTTGTACATATGATAAGAAAGAAAATACACTCTCCACATTCATTTGTGTCCCAAAAAGACTGACAAGAAAAGATTCATGGATCTCACAATCTGACAATTCATCAACTACCTAACATGTTACACTGAAGCTACTCTGAATCCTCTATAGCATTGAATACTGTATGGTGCTAAAGGCTCATTTACCAGAGAAGGTTCAAACTTATTGCAGAAAGAAAAGCATGTTCTAATGTGGAAAGGAAAGAAGCATATTGTAAGTATGATACACTTTGATACATTAAAAGATAGAATCCATGATTATTAAAATTTAAAGCCATCTAGTTTAGACTATCACTGAGAAAGAAACAGCACTCTCCATATTTAGTTGTACATATGATAAGAAGAAAACGCACTCTCCACATTCAATTGTGTCCCAAAAAAGACTGACAAGAAAACATAGATGAAATCATCAAACTCTTACTTTGAAATTTGGCACACCGCCTTCAGTAGCATCCACTGCCCAGTTTAAAATTGAGTCTTGAAACAAAAAGACTAACGTAACATTTTAATGAGAATTTAGTATCGGAATTTATTCTGACAAAATGAAACAATAGTTACAAGAAGATCTGAAAACTGACAAGTTAATTCACCAAAAATGAACTTCTCAGGGCCATCGCTCTTTGACAATTTCAGCACATATGCTTCATTAACAGGTCATTACCAACTGGAAATTTGAAAGATTGGACAGTAAATATCATAATATGAACTGATTCCTCATATATTATGGAAGGTCACAAATTTTCTTGAACATTGTTGAGGACAAAAGATCTTCGACAATTAAATTAAGAGAGAAGCTCTTACATGGCCTTAGATTTTTTTTTTTTGCGGGAAGGGATGTGTGTATCACTGTACCAAGCAAAATCTTTGAGACCCAGTACAGAAAGTTATAGAAAGACAAAAACCAAAAGAACTGAAAACCAAAGGGTCAATGAAAATCTTATGTACACGGTAGAGAAGAACTGTATGTTGAAATAGTTTGTCATCCTGGGCAAGTAGGATTAAGAGAGTGAGGCAGAACAGAGAAGATACTGAGATAAGCTTCTAGAGGGTTCCGAAGCTGCTACTTGCTGATAAGCTACTCCAAGTGATTGTCATCGTTGTGCTGGGAGTTGGACGTTTTGCGAGGAGAGCGAGATGCCTATGCAAAGAAAGAGATGCAATAGTATCTAAGGCCGAAGGGGTAGGCGACAGAAGAGCATGGGAGAGAGATGTTGAAGAGGGAAATACAGAAAAGAAGATATTTATGACGGGGGCCAGAAAATAGATTTGGAGATAAGAGAGAGAGAGAGAGAACTAGAAAAAGTAAAAGGAGATTTAAGATGAAGAGTTTGAGAAATTGAGAAAAGAGATAAAGATAGAAGGCTATGTGGTTACAATAAATCTAGATAGATCAATAAGAGAGCTGAGAACAAAGGGGATTAAGGAGTAGTATGTAGCGAGGGAATGGGTAGTAGGACAGAAATAAAGAGAGGTTTGGTAGTGAGTAAAAGGAAAAGCAGCTTACAGTGGGGCAGTGGAGTAAGAAAAAGAGTAACAGGAGTAGAGAGGTGCAGAGGAGAGGTGGCAGAGCACCTCTTGGGATAGTTCTGTGTAACAAAGGAGGGTAGTGATCATCTTAGATGCACTCTGCCATAGTTAAGACATTTACTTCGAGCGTCTTTCAATTTTCCTTTTTACCTTTTGTTCCCTTTTTTCCCATTTTTGTATTTTTTTTCCTTCGTTGTTCTTGTTTCGTTTCCATTTTCTTTTCTGTGTTTTTTTTTGTTCCTTTTTTATTTTTCTAACTTTCTACTTCTTTTGTACCTTTTCCTCTTTCCTCCTTCCTTTATTCTAGTAATTCTATTTCCAAAAGGAAAGTCAATAAAGAGTTCCAAAAAAGCCCACCTAAAGGCTGATGATGAAAAACCAAAGAAGCAGTATTAAGGGTTACTGCTAAAGGAGGCAGAGCTTAAAACAGGGGTGGAAGTGATGATAATGTTGAGGAGAGAAAAGAGGTGAAGGGTTTCAAGGGGTAGGGGCAAAGTTGAGGTCCTAAGGCTTGAGAGTAGTGGTGAGATTGGGTTAGAACAGGAGGAGAGAAAAGGAAGACAGTAAGAGGTTGGAGAATAGTGGTGAGGTTGGCGGCAGAACAGGAGAAGAGAAAAGGAAGATGAGAAATGTCTGTGCCTGAGCAATGCTAGATCGGGGACGAGAGTGAGACTCAGGTTTTAAGCAAGGGTAGAGGAGGAGGAAGCAAAGTTGAAGGCCATACCTGTTGGCTTGCTATCTGGGCTGCACTGATTGCCCCCAGCTTGGCCAAGGAGTATGCAGCCTGGTTAGCACTTCCATGAACATGGTGAAATCTCACCTTGAGATCGCTGCACAGAAGATGTAATGGTCAAATATATGGTGAACTCACCAAGGGCTTTATACTCAGTATGCCCACGAAATGGCACCCCTGTTATATACTTCCAACAAGGCCACTGATTCTGCAAAGGCCAAGTCGTGGATACCCAAGAATGCGGACAAAGATATTAAAGTCTCTCCCTCATTGTTTCCAAGGAGACCTCCTATACCTGCCAAAACAGGGTTCCCCAGGGAGCATCCAACTGCATTCAGCTTAAAGGATCCTTCGGAGGGGGGTGACCAGAGGGGAGTTATAGACGAGGCCTCTGATAGAGATAGAGTAGGTCTTGCCAGTTGCTGGTGGAGGAGGTGGGGAAGTGTTGGAGAACTTTATTGGCCTTAGCCTAGAAGACAGTAAACCCCTGATGAGGTCCGAAAGGGTACTCAGGCTAGAGAAATAAGATTGGAAGGTCCTTCTATTATGTTCTTTCCAAATAGACCATAAGGAGGTGGCCACCAAAATCCTCCAAGGGAAAAGGCCCCACTTTCGGAAGGAAGGGGATTGAAAGGCCTGGTAAAGTTGCTTCAGCGACTGGGATTGAACCCAGGTCCATCCGAATTCGTGAAGAAGGTTAGACCAAAACCTGGAGGTCTTATTGCAGTGGGTGAAGAGATGGTTTAAGGTTTCTTCTTCGTGGGAACAAATGATACACCTATCGGCAAGAGGAAGACCTCTCTCCTGCAGCTGGTCCAGAGTCTTACCAGGGAGCACTATCCACAGGAAAGGTTGGACTCTATGGGACTTGTATGGACCAAGCCCTGGCTAGTATGGATTTAGAGGGGTGCTCGTTTGAGAGGGAATAGAAAAGGAGGTGACTGAGAAAAGGCCAGAGGTAGAGTGATCCCAAATGATTCTATTGAGACCCAAAGACAGAAGGAAGACATTGTGCAGTTCCTGAAGAAAACTAACTAGTTCTCTCATCTCTTTGTCACTAAGACTCCTCCAAAGGTTGGGACCAGATGTGGGGGCATAGTAGTCTTATCTACCACACTGGAAATCATGATCACAGGATTCTGGGCAATGTTAAAGAGGGAAGGCCACCTGGCGGCTAGGGTCTGATTACCTAACCAAAGATCCAACCAGAAATGGACCCTATTACCCCTTCGATGGCAGAATCTTATACAGAGCCTAAACTTCTGCCAGGAAAGGGCAATACCATTCCAAGCTCCTGAGACCAAAGGTGGGTATTTCGCGAACCACCATGAATCTTCTAAACCATATTTCCATTGATGACTTAAGGTTACACAATTTGTCCCATGCAATAAGGTAAAACCTGCCCAGCAATATATATATGCACATACAATATATATACACAAACAATATATATATATATATATATATATATATATAACAAGAACTACAATAAGAGACAATCTTGGGAGGATGTTGCTCCATAGCCAGTAGACTTTCACTACAAGTTTAAATAACTATTAAGGAGTACCAGCCTGGGTTAGTTTGTGCCAATGTTTTAAGAATCACCTTAGGCCTGGAACTCGCCATTGGCCCGAGGCGAGATAGTCGAGCGAGTCTACTCGGACTCTTCCGAGTAATGTATACCATGAAGAAGGTTAACAAATAAAAGAAAAGGTAAAAACGTTGTTTAAAAAGTTAAAATAGTGAAAATAAAAGAGTAATAGAAATCAATAAAAGACTATAGAAGATGAAAAAAATACATAATGGATTGATCATTCAAAATTTTGATTTATACCATGAACATTTTAGGGAAAAAAAAGGAAAACAACAAAAAATTGAATGATGTGATAAGAAAAGTTCCCAATCATCTTAAAGACCATCAAATTCATCTAAAAGCATATTTCTAAATAATTTTATTTTTAACATTTTTTTTATTTTTAGCTAATTTTTTTGGTGCCTGGGTTGGGCATCCCAACTTGCCTCGCCCATAAGGTGAAGCCAAGGTTGAGTGGACTCAGCTAAGTCCAAAACACTGATTTCTATATTACCAATAGATGATTTGAAGGCATATTTTCCTTTTTATAGCAAGCACCTCAAAATTCTTAACAGTGAATGGTACACTTCTCAAAGAGGGGAGCAGCACCTAACAAAAGGATTGAGCTACTGGTGCATCTCAATGAATCAAAATGCATGGATAACTAAATCAACCATATGTTGACACCTACCACTACAATTGATCACTAAAAAGACAACCTGATGGTGACATTAAACATTCTTAATGCATAGAAATTCTAATTCCTCAAAATCACTAAGAGAAACATGGCAATTGGAGAAGTACATTAGGAAACATCAACAACAATGGGTGAGTGATCCAATGTCTTG